AGACGACTTTTTTTCCGCATTGGCCTTCTGTGCTGAAGCTGTGAAGCAACTGTGGCGCCTTCATTTTTGGGTAGTACAAGCTCACTTGATTGGGTTTCGCACTACTTTGGCAGGTTGGTTTTAGCTTTTTTTTTCCTTTCTATAGAGTGCTGAACAATGGAAAAAGAAAACTTTGGACGTTCAAAATCAGCTAGATTGAACGCCGCAGGACGATCAAATGTCTCATATTCAGTCCACCACCGCTAGTGTACTCTTATTTCTGGGTGGTGGCGTCAGAACATCTGGCGTCTCGACACTTTTATTTTTATTTTCATTTTTACCTTGGAACGCGTGAAAGAGCCTTTTTCTGGTCGCACACTTTCAGCGCCTTAGCTTTGACTTCTACTTCGACTGCGTTCCAATTTTTGTTGTTTCTTTGTATTTTCCTAATGATCTCGCGTTCCGCACCAGAGCAGTCAAGCTTCTACATGTCTGACAGTTTGAGGCGCTCAAGTTCGTACTACCCAAAACAAGTCCTAGCAAGTCTTTTTTCGGAGCGCCCCCTGGGCAGCGCAGGAGGCAGTGGCGTAGCCAGGGGGGGTGTTGGGGTGCCAGAACACCCCCCGAAATTTCTACCAACACCCCCCCCCCCCCCCCTTCTCCCCTCCGCGGCCTTCTCTCTTTCGGGCGCCATGTCGCGCGGTCGCGTTCTCGTCATATCGGCTCAAATGGCAAAAATAACACCATCCGCGACGCAGGACTCAAACGACCGGCTCACACCCCAAGTCTCTACTTAAATTGCAGTGTTGAAAGGCCATGAGCACGCACAAACACACACAGAGGATAATTGCTCCGCCGATTCGTGTGGGTTGTAGGGGAAACTCGGAAGCTGTGGCTATTCTTCTGAATTGCACGTCGAGGTGACCCCCAGAAGGTCATTCCGAAATGTTCAGCAACCGCCTACCAGCACGCATAAACGCACACAGAGGATAATTACTTCTGTTGACTCCAAGAGGGCACGAACGATCAGAGGATACCATCCCCCTTTTCATTCCGGACGAGAAGGACCTCGGAAGCCCATAAGGGGTAGATTATTGTTGACAGTCCATCTGTTGCGCCGGACGCCTGAAAAAGGTATCGATGACAGCTCGTTTCTCTCTTTTGTCGACGCAACGGGTGAGACATTCACCTGATCTACCGGGGGAAGATAATCGTGGCTCAAGGTTGTCTGCGGAAGTCGTGCCCTTGGAACGCCGGGGTCGCTCTACGCGAGAATCCGCTTCCACCTCCAGGTGCGGCCGCGAAGGACGTCCTTTACAGCGCCCAGAAGGGTTGCGTGGGTCAGTGTCGCAGGCGAGCGCAACCGCGTGGCGTTTGGATAAAACACGATGGCAGAGCGGCCGCAACGGGAGAGCGAGTCCCCTGACAGCCTTATAAAGTAGAGGAGGCGTTGGTCCTAGGAAAACCACGAACCTGCGCAGCTGAGTGGATGAATCAACTTTCGAGTAATTTTAGTTACTGATTTTAAGAGCGTGTTCCGTGTGCCTCGATGCCATGTGCCTGTTCTGAAAATGAGCACGCCTAAACGAGTCAAGCTGACCATAGACGGCTTTTTTAAAAACAAATACCACCCACGTCGTCAAGCGCACCATAAAAATCTCCAGCACAGTCTACACCTTCAGGTCAGACACCCCCATCCGCCTGCCTGAGCGAGAGAAATGTTCCTAAAACGATATCGCACTTGATATCACATCTAGCCCAAGGAATTCAGAACTCAAGAATGATGAGACAGGGCGAAAGCTGCTTTTGAATCCATGGACACCCGGCGCTAACTACGTCTTCCCTGTTGGAGGCAAGCGGAGACTGAAGTTCCAGCCGCACTGGCTAAGTCATATTCCTGGCGCCGGTACTCAGAATGCCAGAAAGGGGCTTTCTGTGGTGTCTGCGTGCTCTTCGGACAAGAGAAAGCGGGAAAGGGCTGTAACCAACGGCTCGGTGCTCTGGTGCGTACGCCGTTCACACGATGGCAATGCGCGCTGGAGACCTTCAAGTCCTACAGCGAAGCGGAGTACCACAAAGCCGCCGTTCTGTTTGCAAGCAACTTCCTGCAAGCAATTGAAAGAGAATCGGTTCACGATCAGCTGTACTCGGCGAATCGCCGTGAACGAGAGAAAAATCGCAAGAACCTTCTCTCGAAAATCGACGTTGTTCTTGTCTGTGGCAGGCAAGGGATTCCTATGAGAGGACACCGGGACGCGGGCCGCCTGGAACTGGACCAACCAGTTGAAAACGATGGGAACTTTCGAGCGCTCCTACGTATGAAAGTGCACAGCGGTGACGAGGTCCTCGGGGAGCACATCGAATCTGGACCTGGGAATGCGACTTACCTCAGCCCTCTAATTCAAAATGAGGTCATCGCCGCGAGTGGGAGGATCATTCAGGAAACAATTCTGATCCAAATGAACAATGCGAAGTGCTTCACATAGCTGGCGGACGAGACAACTGACATATCAGGTAGGTTCGACCTTCATCTCTCAGTCTAATAACGGCTTAAAAACAAGTTACTTTAGGCGATCAATAAGTTTTAGCAACATGGAACATGCGTTATGACACTTAGCTTTACAACTAGTTTGCTTGGCTTGGTGGACACTAGAAAGGGGCATTTAGGCGGCTAATTAGGAAAACTATCTTTATTCAAGTTTCATTATTACAATTTATGTTGGAATGATCGGAAACCATTAAATCAGTCGATTTGAAAAATATTTGGAGCATCTCAGAAAAGTGCAAAAATTACCGCTTGTGATAAATTGGGGCGGGCACATCAAGGCCCATTTTGAACCCCCCCCCCCTCCCCCCCCCCCCAAAAAAAAAAAATGCGTTTGCTTTTAATTTTTTGAAGTTGACTGATTTCGTGGTTATTGACGATGCCAGCAAGTTTTCAATTTGAGCTATGTGTGTATTTTTATTAATTAAAAGATTAATAAACTATCAAATGATTAGCCGCCTAATTGCACCAGCAAGCTTGTTCCCAATGGCCGCCAAGCCGAGAAAACTAATGGTACTACTAGAAACGTCCTAACACAAGTTCCCTTGATTTGAAGTTCTGGAATTTTAAAAAGATACACTCCGTTCATATCCACAGTATGGGCTATACTCCGTCTCATTACTTATGTGCAGCTTTGTGAAAAACACGGACGCTAGATGCGGCAATGGAAAGGAATTTTTTTACGCGACTTCGTGCGAACAGAATACTGATTCCCGGACTTCGGTCAGACATTTGTGGAAGTTGCCCTCTGACTCTTCTAAAGTAAAGAACAGAAAACAGATTTCGCCTGCGTGTCCTAATTGTTGTGAAGAAAAAATATAAATATTGGCATTTTTGCACCCCCCAACTCAGTCACAGTCTTCGGGGTCACACCTGGTCCCCCTCCTAGTGACGTAATTCGGGGTACCATATAGCTTCTCGTGTGCTTTCTAGGACGACAGTTACTCTCCCTCTCTCTGCTGACATTAGCGGGCGTGATGCTGCAGCTTAGAGCCCCGACCGAGGTCACGCAATCTTTTCGCCGCAGTTCCTTCGGCTGCCACTTGCCGCTGCAGGTGGGGGAAAAAGCTCGATTTTTTCTTTGCGATTATGCAGCGGAATCGCGAAATTTCTGAATGAAGGAGTTTTTTCTCTATCCTCCGGGATACGATGAACAACGTAAAAATGACGAGATGCGAATTCTTTTAATCTTAAAATTGTTGCTTACTTTCCTTGCTTTGGACCCTGTACATATGGCATTTCATTTTCTATGTTATGTTCAAATCATTGTCTACAGGAATTGTTGTGCTTTCATGTATTACATTTTTTTTTTCTCTTAGTACCTGAATGTACTGAGTCTCCTGCGCTTTCTTATGTAGGTAGTGGTGAGAGTGGAAATAAGAAGTGAGTCTTTTTCTTGATAAGAGCAGAGGAATAACCAAAAGTATGCTCTTATGTTCGTTAAGAGCATATATGTGAACCCTCTCTTCTCCTCCGGTCTCACCGGGGAAGTAAAACACCCCCTGAAAAATATTTCTGGCTACGCCACTGGCCGGAGGCCTATACTTTGTTTCAGCATAAGTCGTAACGCTTTCAAAAGTTGGAAGACACACATACACAGACGCATAAAGTGAACCGCACAAGTTCACAGCTCACACATACGCCCCCTTGTTTGGTTGTTCCGCTGATAATATACGCATTGAAACAAGACGACCACCGTGACGCTGCGCCTTTGAGCCTACATGACCGACTCCAATGGCCTGAGCGTTGGTTGCGCACTGATTTAAAATTGGTTCACAAATCACTCTTTTCTAACGTATGCTTACGTCGAGAGTCACCAAGAAATGTGTGCTTCGAATGAAGCGTCGCAGACAGTACAAACATTAAGTACCTTTGCACCCTACGTAAGCAGAACACGTAAGCAGACGCCTTTTAGTAAATGGGCCTCTATTCAGAGAGGCAATATGGTAGAAATGTTAGTTTTGTTGAATCTACGAATGGGTTGTGGAATAATGAAAAAGAACGATTTAATTTCGGCTTTGATTATTTAAAGGTACACGAATACTTGTTCAAAACTGAATAGTCCTGTGTCATATCTAGCATTCAACAATGCAAAGACAGCTGGCGCCTCATAACTTACTTTTGACTTGTGAAGTCTGTCACTGAAACAGCAATACTCAATTAGAATCACTACCCGTGCATACCTACTCATCGAGTGGCATGGGTTTTTTCTCGCGATTCATTTAGCGATCCAAATTGAAATATCACAGATTTGAGAGCTCACAGGCGTTAAAGCCTCAACTCTAATACAATATGAATTAAAACGGTATTTTACTCGATCGTGAAAAACTTAAATTCGATATGCGACGTATCCAGGCTTGCAAAATAGTATGTGTAACTAAATAAGTTGTTTCTCATATTATTTTATCTTAGAGCGTCCCACCTCTGAAAGCGAAACAATAATATAAATGTTTGAGAATGATATACTACAACTTACTTGACAGGAGTTTGATGGTTTCGGCCGATCCTGTGTCATTTATGTCGGCTACGACCACCGTTGCACCCTCACGGTCCAGCACCTGGCAGACACTTCGGCCGATCCCACTCGCACCACCAGTGACAATAGCCAGTTTCCCGGCTAATAGCGGTTCCGAAATCTTTTTGACATTCTCCACTTCTTTTGCAACTTCGTTACCGTTATTGACATCGTCTTCTGCCGAGCTATGCATCATAAACGTAATAAAAAACACAACATACCAAACAAATGCGTGGTTGAGTCGATAATACTGAATCATTATAATTTGCTAAGTGTTAACAAGAGATAATTAAATAAAGATGACAGCAAAATCAGCATCCGACAAGTGCGTAACGTGCAAGGAATATATAGCGTTTATATCCGTCGAATCATCATCATGCGTCCCCAAACGCTCTACAAAAGGTCGCACAGATGGTTAACATTATCGAAACATGTTTTCTTTGCAGCTTGGAGCAGCTGCGTACGTTCTTTTAGCATCGCGGTGAATCAGTATGAAATCGCAGCTTTACTTCGGCTGTTGCGTACATGGGTCTATACTCTAAAAACAATAAAATAAATCGTTCTTGAAAGGTGCTTGGACGTCCAAAAGGGCATTTTCGGCTCGCCAAGAACGGTTTCGAATCAAGCACTATCGCCCCCTGTCGCAATAGAAATTCAGCTGGACGATCACACACTACTTCACATCAAAAGGGATCTTGAAAGAACCCCTTCTAGGTTTTTACGAAGAATAATATTAGAGGTTCTTAAGAGAAATTTTTAGGGTGCAAAATATGGACAGGCCGAAGAACCCCTAAGAGTACTTTTATGACCAGATTTTGTTTGGAGAGTACATACTTTGTTATTGTTTTCTACCAAGTTTGCATAATATACGTCTGATTCCTCACGTGCACAGTTGTCACTCTAGTTTTTTTAATGACGGTGACTGAATAAAACAAAACAAAACTATTTACCTTCTAATCAATTTTCGGGCGTGGCCTCGACATATTTATAACCTTTTATACTTAAAACCCGTTAAAAAAAATCACGTCTTTTTTTTACATTTTCTTACTTTGGAACGTTTACGTCTGATTACGTCCAACTAAAACTGCGAGTCGCCGGGACACTTGTGACTCTTAAGAAGTGTGGGAACTAGTAGAGTTAGTAAATATGTCAACCAATTCAGAGAGTAGCTTTCCAGGCAACATACGAACCACTGATGTACCGGCAACTTGCGAATATTTCAAAACGTAACGTAAAAAACGTAATCAAACGTCTATGAGGATACCTAAAAAAACTGTCTGCTCTGTGAGACTGTGCATGACGTAAGTACAAGAAACGTGAGTGGCATTTGTCAGAGCTCGCACTGGTTCTGAGGTGTAAACATGTTTTCAGTCTAGCCATTTGCCAAGCTCTCTTTGTAGATTGCACCGATTGATTCTAAGTGCTTTGCAGGAAAGTAGTCCCACTTGCGTCAGTATACACTCTAAAAAAAGTATGTGCGTCTACTTACACGCACACCCCTCGGAGAGCCAATGACCGCAACTTACGGAGGCAGCTCAGCGAATGACGATGCCGAAACATATGTTTAGACCAAAAAACGCAGTCTGAGTTGTGACATTAAGCAATGCAAGCGTGACGTTTTGCATTGCTTAATGTCACAACTCAAACTGCGTTTTTTTGGTCTAAACATATGTTTCCGCGTCGTCATTCGCTGAGCTGCATCCGGAAGTTGCGGTGATTGGCTCTCCGAGTGTTGTGCGTGAAAGCAGACTTACAGACATTTTTAGAGTGCATAGTGACGCGAATGAGTTCCTTGATCTAGAATCTCATTTCCACACGAGAGAGTGGGAACCAAGAGACAGACTTATGCCAGCAGTTTCGACAGTTCTACGCAAATCGTCAAGCGGAGTATAGAAACAAAGCAGCGGCTCCCACACACACAGTTCTACACACAAAGAAGGTCATCACTACTTCTTGATGTCGCTTATATAGTCTCTAGCCTGCTATCATAAGACAGCGATACGCAGGCATGTCGCCAGGGATGCATAACGCCTCAACTTTAATCTTAAAGCAAAAACTAAAGATAATTTTATGGAACAGTAACCAAACGTCATGAACAAAATAAAGATAATAATCATGTTTATTCTATAGTTACTATCTAGGTGAGAACGAGAGGGAGAAACTTAAAGGGACATTGAAATTGAAACAAATTCTCTCTGAAACGGCCTAGGTATCATTTTCTATCGAAAAAAAAAAATGCGCAGTGTATCTACGCTTTTAGACGGAATTAAGGTTAAGGTCATTGCGCGCTTTGAACCCTGCCCACAGATCAGTGATCCCGCCCATTATTACTGGATTGGCTTGGTTGCTCAGTAGAACACGTTCGCAAGCCTATAGTTTCTCCCTGTCGCGACATCCGGGGCGATATCCGTCACGATACGCGTGGCAGCCTCCGACCCATCGTCTGCTATTTTACCACCATTTATCATCGTCTGCAACGCCAGTAAGACGGCGTGCACCGAGAGAGGGCGAGCACGTCTCTTTGATTGGGCGGCTGTAATCTTGGGGCTGAGTAAGACCAACCCTCACAAAGAATGGTTGTCAAATTTATGTGGTTGGACCATTTGAACTTTGCGCGCTAAGTGTCGACCGTTTGGCTTCCGTCCTCTTCCGTATGATCTCGGTATGAGCATTACGTCATCAATACGAGCCTTTGTCTTTGGTGACAGTGAGCCGAAACTCTTGGAGCGCGAGAAACTCCCGCTGATACCTAGTGTGCGGGTGTGCACGTTCAGTTTCCAGAATGCGTCGACAAGGACGTTGCCCGGTTATGTTGAGCGCTTTTGCCTCGCGTAACACCGATTTCGGCGTTTTGTACGTCGGGTGTCTAGCCTGTACTCCGGCGACTCCTCGGAAGAAATTGCTAAGTGAATTCAGGTGCGTTACTTTACTGACTCAGCAGCGGCACCGCGTAAGGGCAACAACCCGTACTATGAAGGCCTGCTATGTACACAATTTAAGTTTACCTTGTTTTATTTTAATGTTTATTTCTCTCTTTTTCAAATTCAGGAAGTGTAAATGTTGTATTTCTACACGCGTGAAGCCAATTTAACGTGTTCCTCTACACATTATCATGTGCCTGCTGCGATCGGTACACTTGCAAGAAATATTTTCTTATGTGCCAAATATGCCTCTAGAAATAATTATATATATATTTTATTTTTTATTTTAGGGAATTAATCTGCATAGCAATCCAATCGCTTGAGCAGTTGTGCTGGAGTAAAAAAAGTAGAGAAGGCATTCTGTTGCAACTGTCAATTTTCAGGAAGATCTACAAATTCTGCTCTTGATCTCAGCTGTTGAGATTGTGAAAACAAATTACACAAATATAGATACATATATTTACAACACCGCTGTGTTACACTAAAAGTTGTCGAAGATCGAATGCTTATTTATGCAGTGATATATTTTTGTAAGTAGGCTACATTTCGTGGGGTTTCAAGAATTATGATTGATGGTAAGGTACCGAAAGTAGGACGTTTGCAATGAAGAGTGCAAAATAAATGTATTATTTGGCACAGTAGTGGACTGCAATCCACTTATAACGATAATAAGATAACCAGAAAATGCAGTCGTTTCAACCGATTATCGCTCTATCTGGGCTGGAAACTGATCCTTTCAAGTCTAGAAACTCTAAAAACGGATCATTAGAAGCGGTACATCGAAATATGTGGTATCGCTATGAGTGGATTGTTCTGTAAATGAAAACAAATTGCCTATCATGCAGCATCTCTTCATCCCTAGGGTTAACACAATCATTTAGAGGGTACGGTCTTACGCATGTTTACGCATTCCGGCTGCTTCGGAACGGCGGAACCTATACGCAGAAATGAGTGGTCCCAGTGGGTGGTTCCGATGGGCCCATAGTGCTGAAGTAGCAAAAGATATTTTGTAAGATCTGTTTGTACCTCTTTTCTAGCCCTTGCAATAAAATGTCGGCATTGCGCGTTGCATTAAAAAGAAGTGGTTGATAAATACTCGAGCAACTTCAACTCTTCGCTGCAAAACGAACAGGCCTGACATTTCGTCTGCTTTCTTTCTCCACTTTTCTGTCGCGCTTTCTCTCGTTCTTTCTCTTTGAATCACGGATGTGAGCGCTCGAGACTTATCGTGTTTTGTTCTCGTCTTTAGCCCCCAGGTTCATTCACACGTCACATATGGTACATTCATCTCAGATGATGTGTATACTTCAATACACCATTTGGCGTAGCTGCCTTCGTCTAAGGTGAGCAAACATCCCCCATAGCCATTTTTGGCCAAATTTCTAGTGAAGCAATTGTAGGCTAGTTTCTTAAAGTACCCAGGACACTCTGAGGAGTAAGCTAACGAGAGTAACGTATTATTCAAGAGTACTTCTATCATATAAAATTAGCAAAGAATTAAAAAAGAGACATAGGCAAGAAAACACATCTTTTAATCAGATCTATCCTTTAAAGTACCGGGTGTACCAAGGAGCGGCCAGGTTCTTTAAATCGACCGTAAAATTTCGTTTCTTAACCTATCGCGCTACGACTTTGTGCAGCGTTGCCCACAGATAGTACATTTGTTTTGCAAATTTGCAAAGAGCGAACTTGCCTCAGGAAAAAGTAAAGAAGAAACGGCTTAGCTCCAATGGAAACTCAGCGAGGCCAGCGGTCTTCAAACCGTACGGCGCCGTTTCGCACGGGAGAAAAGAGATGGCGCAGGCGGTCGCGACGCCAACTGCCCCCAACGAACGAGCATACTGCGCTGAGATCTGGCTTCTTTAGCAGACAATTGTTCGACTCAAAAGCGGCGCGAGCTTTTCTGATATCAGTTGCCAATGGATTATTTTATCACCCTTACCAACAAACACATTCAATGGGCACATAATCTATTCAAAAAGTGGTTTGTCGGGATATTTTGACTGTTTTTTTTCTTTGCTTTTTTTGTTTGGTTTTTTTTTTTTTGGGGGGGGGGGGGGAAGGGGGATAATTACGCCGGCTGCTTTGCAGTTGACGATAAAGCCTACGCTGCAATTGCCTCTTCTCGAGATCTCGCCACCCGCGGAACGCGCGCCGCTTCTGAGTCGAAAATATCGTCTGCTATTTTTTTTACGGCTTTCGGCGCCGTACGCTCGTTCGTTGGCGGCAGCTGGCGCCGCGACCGCTTGCGCCATCTCTTGTCTTCCGTGCGAAACGGCGCCGTATTGTTTGAAGATCGGTGGCTTCACCGCGTTTCAATAGGAGCTAAGCCTTTTTTTTTTTTTCTTTACTTT